AGTAATCCACAGCACTCCAGTCCATCAGTGAACATCTGGAGAAGACAAAAGCTGAAACTAATCCAGCATTAAGACCTTTATAACTAAAATACATAGAGTCAATAATCCATAATAACGCTTCCTCCAGTGAAAAAGTGTTCTGGTCTGAATCAGGAGAGAAATCTGCACAGATCAAGCAGTGTTTAAACAGCTCTAAACACATATGTGGCTGGATTTTGATGTGAGAGACAACAGCAGATGCACTTTTTCACTGAAGGAAGCGTTATTATGGATTATTGACTCTATGTATTTTAGTTATAAAGGTCTTAATGCTGGATTAGTTTCAGCTTTTGTCTTCTCCAGATGTTAACTGATGGACTGGAGTGCTGTGGATTACTTGTGGATTATTGTGATGTTTTTATCAGCTCTCATTCTGACGGCACCCATTCACTGCAGAGCATCCATTGCTGAGACACTGATGCAGTGACACATTTCTCCAAACCTGATGAAGAGACAAACTCATCCTCATCTCACATGGCCCGAGGGTGAGGAGATTTTCAGCAAATGCTCATTTCTGGGTGAACTGTTCATTTAAGACCTCCAGAACAGCCTGGTGTTAAAGTGTTGCTTGTTTTTCTGTTTCCGGTTGCTCAATATAATGTGATGTGACTCATGAGAAGAGATGCTTTGACTGCTCTCTGGTCTGTTTTCAGTGCGGACAGGAGCTGACGCGAGGAAACCGCCGCCGTTTTTATCCTTGTTGTGTTGTTCTGTTATTCTGAAATCAGGCTTTTTATCTGCTGTTGGAGGGAGTTTTATCCTGTGGCCGTTGCAGTTATTTATTGACGCTGATAAGGTTCCCTGCAGGATCTCAACACTAGGTTTTCCTGTCATAGATGAATCCCAGTGCCATGATGTCAGTGTTTTTGCTCTCTTTTAATACTTCAGACGGGTGTCATTCTGCAGAAGACAAGAGAAAGACTAATAACGGTCAGAAGCGGCGATGTTTCTCCTGTCAGTCCATCATCAAACACGCTTTGATTTCTGATCAGATTCATGCCTTTCCTTTTATCACAGAGCTTTAAATCACATCAGACTTCAGCTGTGTGTTTTACAGACGCACCACAGTCACAGTCTGAACTATTCGAGGGAAGTTTGCCTAAATATAGTCTGAAAATGCAGCAGATTTAGACGCCTAGATGCCTCCCAGACCCATGTTTGTTCTCTGCTGTGTTTGTAAGATGCGACACAATCAAGTACATTAAACCCCAGCATTAAAATGTTAAATGGTGTGTTTTTTTATACACAGGGCAGCTACATTATAGTCATACAGTAACACTCTTTGACACTATATCTGATCTGAATCCGGTGCTAATACGACAGACGCTGTCTTTAATGAATGCATTAGCCGTAACACGTTCTAGCTCAGACGCCCCTAGGTTTGTGTTATTAAGCACTTGCATGTGCGTCCTGTGTGGATATTACAGTGAATATGCATTAAACTCATCTTCAGTACTCCCTGGAGCTTGTGTTGTGATTTCGTTGGATTGTTGTGTTCGGCTTTAATAAATTAATATGTCAATATAAATTTAATAGTATTCTTACAGTGTAGAAATAATACTATTTATGAATTTAAATATTAAACTGAATACTATATTTACAAAATATATTAATACTATTGTTATATATATATATATATATATATATATATATATTACACACTTTTGTTTATA